TTATTTACGGTTATATTTCCTTTGAGAAAAAGGATGTGAGGTTCCGGCTGTTTTGTCGGGACTGAATGTCTTATTTTATTTATGTATTCAATTATTTATTCATGCGCTCATTTATTTTAAATATTTCAAATTATATCCTACTGGGCCTTTCGCTCACGTTTTATGTTTTAAATGTTAAACCCCTCCCAGGAGACTCGAGGAGCGGTGCAGGGTAGCTGGAGTTGCTACTGTTGGATCAAGTGAGGATTGAGTTTATCCTCTTTAACAAATGTAAGGAATTTGAGAAATTATGTAAACCTATTTAATATTGGATTTACTAGACTGTGGTTGATGTCTGTTGTAATGATTAATTACATGAGCATGTATGTACGATACTGTATGTCCTGTGGTGTGGAGCCCTGTGTCAGAGGCTCCTGGATTATGTAATTTATTTATATTTTAATGCAGTTAAGTGTGGGGCCCGGTTGGGAATCTGCTTTATTAATCCCTAATCGAGTTCCATGTCACCCACCCCGGTTGGGGGGGCATGACAGGAGTGGTATCAGAGCTTTAGGTCAAGAACCCCAGGATTGTACATACATGTGTGACATCTGTTATCCACTAAACAGTCTAGTTTTATTTTAGTTGAAGGAAATGGCGCCTCGCCGTAGACTAGGCACTCAACCGGAACAACCGAATCAAGGGTTCTTGGATGCCATGTATTCTGCCTTTCAAGGCATGGCCACTAGAGCTCGGAATGAGCGACCGGCTGAGGATCGGAAACAAGGGTATCTTCAGGAATTCAGGCGAGCGCCTATCCCCTCGTTTAATAGTGAGGGAGGACCCTAGGAAGCGGAGTTCTGGATTGACTCCATAGTTAAACACTTGAGTACTATGGGAGTCCCAGATGAATACTGGGTGAAATTTACGGTATACAAGATGGAAGGGTTAGCAAACACTTGGTGGAAATAGGTCAAGAAGAGAATGGACGTCGTAGGATTGACCTGGGAGCAGTTTGAGACGCTGTTCAATGACCAGTATTTCCCTCAGAGTTACAGGGAAGAAAAAGCACTGGAATTCATGTCGCTGCAGCAATGTGACATGTCAGTGA